CCGGTCTGTAGTGGCTGAGAGGTTGATTTTTCTTATGTTTTCCTATTATGCGTAGGCTTTCATGTTCAAAAGGTGAATTATGGAAAATATCTCATATTTGCCTTTATTATAGTCGCAGTTCATCGGGAAATTCAAAAGAAAAGGTCACAAATTTTTTGTTTCGAAATTGCTGAGAATTCGCGTCTCGTTTATGGGTGAAAAATGTTTGTAACGCATGATCTTCCAGCATTTGAGTTTTACATCTGTGCTAAGACGAGTCAGTGATTCTTACAGATCAGTTTTTTGTTTTCTCCCTGTTATTCATAGTCCATGTTAACTGGATTGGAATTCTTTTCTGTTCTTCTAATAACAATCATTACTGCTTCCAAGAAGGTATATACTTCTTTGAGTTCCAAGGCTTTCTTCTGTCTAGTTTTCTTTGTAATCCGAATGTGAGCAATGCTTTCTTTAGCCAATGGTTGCATCCGTCATTCTTTGGAAAGTTCTATTTTTGCATTTTCTTTGCAAAGTTTTTGTTTTTAGAGATTTGTTTCTGCTTAAGTACACAAAGCTCTGATAGCATTCAGTTGTATAATGCAAATGTTTGATGTGTCGAATTGATTTTTGACGTTCATCGGCGTTCCGCTTTTTCTCCCGCATGTCGTTTTCACACTCAGTTTCTTCAGTTGTTACAGGTAAAATGGTGAAGGCCACCAGCATAAAAGATGTTGATCAGCACGAGGCTGTTAAACAAATCGCTCACTTCCTCAAAAAGAGCGGAAAGGTAAAGGTGCCTGAGTGGTCAGATATTGTGAAGCTCGGCGCAAACCGTCAGCTAGCGCCTGTTGATCCCGACTGGTATTACATCCGCACTGCCAGCATTGCTAGACGCCTCTACATCCGATCTCCCGTAGGTTAGTTTTAATAAATTAGAACTTTCACCAAAGCATGGGTCTCTTTCTATGATCTGGTAGATAATCTGTTCTAGGTGTCGGAGCGCTCCGCACTGTTTTCGGTGGAAAGAAAGACCGAGGATCACGACCAAACCACTTCTGCAAAGGCTCCGGATCCGTAATTCGCAAAGCTCTTCAAACCCTCGAGGCTATCAAATGGGTAGAAAAGCATGCTGATGGAAAGGGCCGTGTTCTCTCTAAGCAGGTAAGCATGATTTTGACTTCTTTTAATTATATTGATTGTTTTTTGTATCTTCTCATTTGTTGCTGCGGTTGGTTAGTTGATTTTAATGACCTAGAAACAGCTAATAAGGGAAGGATACTTGGTGGTCGTAGCCTTTTGCAGTTAAATGTGTACCATTAGATACGCCTTGAAACGCTGATTCCTAATCTAGGTTCATGATATGCCGTGCGATCTGAAAG